ATGTCTTCTTCTTGTTATTCAGTTGCTCAGTCGTGTCCAACTCTTTGCAACTCCATGGACTGCAGCACGCCAGACTTCCCTGTCCTTCACATCTCCCAGAGTTTGCAGCATAATAAGTCTTACTGGCATAATAATTTTAGGTTTCTCTATTCATGGATATCTCAAATGTACAGTCCTATAAAAGGCATTACTTAAATTCATGCTTAGTTTTTTAAACAATGGCATCATCCAGAAAAATGGAAAACAGAGGCACTGGAAAAGTACAAACTGATAGTCCAATGAAATCCAATTTTTGTAAATCCTAATATAATACCTCAACAAGATTGTGTTAAACCTAAAGAAATTTAATTGAAGTGTATTAATTCTGATTTCACATGTGCTCTTAAATTATATTCTACATTTGGGAAATTTGGGATTTGTGACCAGTCTGAAATCTTACAAGTTTAGTGCTAATATGCAGGGAAACCAACTCTCTCATTTTATTCCAGTCATACAGCATAGGTGAGAGGGGGACAGTTTTAAATGCATGTAATCATCTCTGTCTCTGATAAAAAGCAGTTTCCAATTTGCAAGAGTCAGTATTTTTATTTAGGACAAATCCCACTACAAACTATAAATCATGACAGGGTTTCATGTTATGAACTAAATTGCTTGTAATTTTCATGTCTCATAAAAATAAGATTTATAACCAATGAACTGGATTAAATTGTGTGCTCATACCATCATTCACTCTTCCTCACACACACTTTAAAATGGCAATATTGTGTTGACCTTCTGAAATATACTAAGAGGAGACTTTTCATAATAAAATAAATGAGGGAAAATTCAACAAATGAGTGAAATGAAAGGGGTAGTGAAGTTCTAGTTATTATTATTATTTCATTAGAGAATTACAAAAAAAGAAACTGTTTACTTGGTCAACAATAATTTTTATTTTTTTTGTAAAGCATTCCCATTTCTATAACAAAAGTGTCTGTGCTTGTACTGAATAATCCCATACCTCTTAAGATACATCAACCATCATCACCATTACCACCACCTACCACAGGCTTGCATCTACAAATTGTTAAAGGTTTAAATATGGCCTTTTTAAAAAATGAATTATGTACAAAGGGGAACAAAGATGAAAACATTCATCACATTCCAAACCCATGAGGACAACGAGTGTGCCTGCATTAAAATGTGGGCTCTTTCCACAAGGCTGCCTGGCTTTCGGTTCCAGAGTATCCCCCTGAACGTGCTTTGGTGCCAGTGGACAGAATGGAAACTGGAGAGAAAACAGCTTCATCTCATAGGAGGGAGTCAGAAAGTGTCACAGAGAACATAATACTTGAACTTGGATATGAAGGAAAAAGAGAAATTGGCCAAATTAACAAGAAGGGGACAAGCATGATGAGCAGAGGAGAGCACGCATGCAAAGGGACGGAGAGCTGAGAGCAGACGGCAGGTCTGAGAACTAGCAAACCGACCCAGGGCACGTGGAAAGAGACCAGTTAAAAGTCAGGCAAGAGCAGACAATGATGTACTTTGAAGTTCTGATTTTTTTCTGTAGCTGATAGGAGCCATCTACCTATGTAAACTAAACATATATGTATGTACATGTATATATTCATTCTAGTAGCAAAATCCAGAATGAGTTGAAGGAGGAGAGAACTATTAGGAGCAAATGACCAATAAGAATTTGTGAGTGAAGGAAGAAAACAACGGCTGTGGAAAAAGAAAGGAGGAGACTGGAGTTCATTAAAAAATTAAATCAGGAGCCCAGTTATCTTATCCAGTAATCACCAAGAGTTGCTGAAAATTATTATCCCTTTTCTAATACCCACATAATTTCATAGACTTTTAATAAGGGGAGAAAGAAACAAAGCTGACTATTCTATAAAATCTTGTCTACTGTAAGCAAAAAAAAAAAAAACAAGGACACACTTTTGCATTATTTTAAAATAATTTGTAGTCAATAAACTACATGAAATCTAGAGTGCTTTTTTTTTCCAGGGGTGAATTATATCAGTAAGAGAATTAAAAAGCCATATCTAAATGTAATTTTAGTATAAGAGATAAGACTGCAATAGAGTAACTTAACAAAATGTAATAATTACAAAGCCAAATTATCTGCCTCTATTATTAAAACCATTACCTTCACCTATAATTTTCTTTTTTTTTTCACTTTATGATTTTCATTCCATCTTTTATAATATAGGCAGATAATCCAGACAAAACTAGATATTCTGGTCTGACTTTGCATTAGCTTTCCATATTGAGCAAATGTATGGAATGGGTTACAGATACGTCCAGCCATTGCTTGTAACTGACATCTATTGTTCTGTCTGCCCAGCACCTTTCACCCATCTTTGAAAACTGATCATCTCCTGCTTACCTTTCCTCTTGACCTCTTATATCCATGTGATTAGCATCATAACACCACACCTGCTCAGTGTTCAGTGGATGGCCCAGCGCATATCCAATTCCTAGTTACCCTTCGTGTCAATGGCCCATCTCTCCATTTAACCTTAGCGCCTACCATCTCCAGAACACACCCTAGTTGGGAACCACCACTAAGAACAGCTGTGCTTCTGTTACAACACGCCATCCAACCACGCCCATCAGTCCTTCCCCTTCTCTGAACAGGAGTACTTGTTCATCAGTTAGGTTTCATCCACATCTTCAGGCCCCTGTCCACTCCACCCAAACCATTGTCTTCCCCACCTCCTTTCCACGTCCAGCCAGAACCCTCTGCTAATCATATCAATAACTCTTTCCCTAGAACTCTCCATTTGTTTTCCATCGTTTGTTTCTAATACAGCAAGCCTGAGCATTCCCCAAACAGATGAATCACTCAAATTCTGCTCCAGGTGATGGAGCTCTCACAGAGAAAGCTGCTCCACTACTCAGACTGCTGTCATTCAGATTTATAGTGACTAACCACCACCGCCCTCGGCAATCATCAGTAACCCGTGCCCTAGTCAGTTCACATTCACATTCCCTACTGAAACTCTTTCAAACATCGACTACTTTCTGGGATAAGAATCCACCTTCCAATGCATGGGACATGGGTTTGATCCCTGGTCAGGCAACCAAAATCCTACATGCCTCAGGGTAATTAAGCTCATGAGCAACAACTAGAGAGAAGCCCATGCACTAAGACCTGATGCAGCCAAATAAATAAATAAGATTTCTTTAAAAAAAAAAAAAACAAAAACCACTTTCTTAAGCCCCTTGTTCATCAATCCCTCCATCTTTATCTTAAGCTCTTCCTTCCTCACAGTGAAACAGAAATCTCCAGGTGGGAGGACAGTCACCTCTCCACTCCTCTGCCTCAAATGTACCTACTAGAGTACCAACCTTGATCTCACTCATGACTATCTGAGGAACCAAGTCTCTCTTACTGTCCTAAGACCACTATTTGTGCCTGGGTCCTAAGTCACAAACCAAAGAAACCTTCAGAGATACTGTCTTCCTTCTATATATTTACCTGTGCTTCAGTCTAACTTCTTCCCCCACAATGACATGCAGATCAATTAATCTCACCTCTCAAATAAAACCACCATCACCTGAAATAACAACAAAATCTCCTCTTGGCCCCTTTTCCAGTTTTAGCTACTTTCCATTTCCTCATCAAATTTCTTGAAACCACATACTTTATAATAAATATAAAAGATGTACATTTTCTATGTTTATGTAATAGAGACAGATGGCTACAGTTTGAGGAGCAGAGGTTGAGAAGAATATATACGTAACATTATGTGTATGTAGTTACATATATTTTTGTTTATTTCCTAAACCACTGCCATCTGTTTCTAACCAAACCTCCAGACTGAAAATACCCACACTAAGTTACCCATGATCTTATAATTGCTAAGTTCAAAGTTTCATTGCTAAATTCTCTTCCTAATTGACCCAGGAGTATTTAAAACTTTCTTTTCCCTCACAGCACTTACTACCTCTTCGCATTTTATACATTTAGTTGATAAGAACCTTTCTCCCTCCTGTAGGATGTGTTTATGAGAGTAGATACCCTACGTTTTTGATTCAGAGTCTAGAATAGTGCCTGGCATAATAAGAAACCGATGAATTTGTTGAATAAATAGTACCCACCTCCTGACCAAAATAGTTTGGGCCAGAGGTAGGAACCACACCCAAACTGAGTCAACTTTGTTTAAACCTAAGAGTTTAAACTTGGGAACAAGAGTTAAGACACTCTAAGTGGATGAAAGATGAATAAATTTCAGGGTGAAAGGAGAATAAATCAAATATGATAGAGAAGTTGAGACAAAGAACATCCTTTGTCTCATCATCCAGATAGAATTCAAGCCCCTGTTTCCATTTATTGCAATTATCAAAACAAATTCTATCCCTGGTCTCTGTGAAATATCCCAAAATCCAAATAGTAAGTTATTTTTAAACATAAACTAATTTAGTCTCTTATTCTGTTGCTTACTACCAAGAGATTCCTTACTATGGTACTGGTCTCTGGTTGACCAGAAGGCTCAAAATAAACCTCTAGAACCGATATTCAAAATTATAAAAACAAAAAGGAAAGAAATGGAAGTAACAAGTTAGAGTTCCCATTCTAATTCCCTGAATGAACAATAGGTGTAAATATATGGGCAATGGTTAGCCTACTTTAATGATATGGAATCATTCTGTTTATGATTTACAAACCCTTTATGACATCACACTTAGGCACTACTTCTGGGAAGAGAGCTATTTACACGTCTTCCTTAAGTAAGATTTCACACACATTCATTTTAGATGTATCACCTTTTTTTTAAAAAATTAAGTTTAGAACTAATTTTACTGCATGCTAACATCCCTCAGGCCACAGACAAGTATACCATTCAGCAGAGAATACCTGAAGAGCCAGGGCTACCACAGCACACAGCAAATTAACGCTGGAAGGCAAATGAAATGCATTCTAAACTGGCATTTGGAAATAACAAAGCTCTGTCTTGGAGAACAGAATTTAATAATTACCTACATTACATCTCATGGGTACTCACCAAACAAACGCTGATGGAATAGAAATTTGCCAGCTATTAGTCCTATGAGAATGGCAAGCAGCCATAGAAGCACCTTCAGAAGCCTCCAGCCAACTCCTCGAGGATATTTATTTGTTACAAATGAAAAACAGTTTCCAACAACAATAACATTGGCTTCTGTTTGGCTATGAGAAACTGGGTCCTCCGCAAATATTAAGAAGTTAAAGAAGATCACCAAGTAAGCCACGATCATGCGAGACCAGGGGTGCTGGAAATAGTAACGAAAGTCTTTACCCATCCTTCACAACTTCACTTCCACAGGTTACCTGCATGAGAAAAGATACACAGGATTAGAGCAAAGAAACAAGTAGTCCCTCTCTCGCTGTCACCTGTTCAGATTTACCACAACTCAATAAAGAGGGCTTTGGAAAAGACCAATTCCTGGTTATGGTACCAACACAAGTCTGAGACTGAATATAAAATACTGTCCCTTCCCTGTTATCATACTTCTGATCATATGAGGGCTTAGTGAAGCAAAAGAGTAGGGAGACAGAAACGGATATGAGAGGGCAGAATGCAGTCTGACATTGGGAAGATGACTCTTCCTATTTTAGATTATCATTTTTATGGTTTAATCATAAAACAGATCATTTAAAAATTAAAGAAACACAGAGGTAAACTGATCACAAACTATCACAAAATAAACATCCTCTTCTGCCCAAATCCTTCTCCTTGGAGTTAAGATCCCTTAATGATTTTGTGCCATATACTTTCAGATTTTTTTTTTACATTGAAAAATGTGTGCACATGTACAGACTTTTGTAAAAATGTTCAGTCTTATTTGTCAAATAATTTCAGCACAGAATAAGTTTCATGAAATAGCTAAGTCTATGGCACAATAGTTGCACGCAGGAGAACTTGGGCAACTCTGTGCGAACTGAGAAGGAAGGCAAAGACCTCACAGAGGAAGACATACTCAAATTGGAGTTTGGAGGATCGATAGAATTTTTTTCCCAGCGAAGAATGCACAGATGCTTAACCTAGGTGTATGCAAGGGTCCAGAGGCATTGCAAAATATGTAATATGCCTAAAGAGCTAGGCCCTAACAGATGCGCACTTCAAGTACAGAAGCTTTCTTAAAATGCTGATACCCAGGCCCCACCCCTAAGTCTTGCTCAGCTCCTCTCTCTTTCCTCTTTGGGGGCCAGTCTGCTCATAAGAACAAAAGCCTTTCTGGGTCCTCCAGGGCTGGAACTGGATGACTAATTTATCTAATTCTGGGGTTCAGTCTTGGTGAGCCCATTTGGTGCTCAGACTAAGTTGTAACTCTTTTTTTATCCAGCAATAAAGCCGATTAAATTTAGGATAATAATAAAATTCTCATTTTACACGTAGCTAAAGATACAAAGATCAAGTCACAAGCCTGAATTAACTTGAAGTCAACAGAAGATCTGAGAATAGGCTCTAAGGCTGCCTCCCAAGTTCCAGTCCAACATTCTGGGCTGATGAATATCAATTAAGACCACAATCAGAGCTAATGAAGACTTGACTTAATTATTTAGAAAAGTTATGGAAACACACAAAAAGACTGGCAGGAAAATTTAGCAACACAAACAGTCATTGTGCCTTGTGTTCATAAAACTTCTAAGCAATTTCCTTCCTCATAAATACTCTGAAATATCTGTTCTTAGGGGCTGGAGCTCAGATCACTAACGGATGGCAATTTTTTTTTTGTTTTAATGTGAGGTTCATCACCCAGTTACAGACCTACATTGTTCTTACACCAAAGAAAGCAGATAAAAGTAGTTAAGAACAAAGACAAACATCATGCATTTTCACAGTATTCAATACGCAGGAATGCCAGAAGGGGCCAGCTGTCAACTCGATTACATGCAAAATCTTTGGAAGTGTCCAAAGACCACTTTTAGAAGAGAATACATAGAAACACCTCAAGGCCAATGAGTCCTGAAGCAGAAATAGTTGCTACATGCCCATCAGAACTGGACAGTGCTGTCAGTTAAGAAGTTAGTTTCTCTAATGCAAATCAAAACCACAATGAAGTACCATTACCCACCAGTCAGGATGGCTGCTATCCAAAAGTCTACAAGCAATAAATGCTGGAGAGGGTGTGGAGAAAAGGGAACCCTCTTACACTGTTGGTGGGAATGCAAATTAGTACAGCCACTATGGAAAACAGTGTGGAGATTTCTTAAAAAGCTGGAAATAGAACTGCCATATGACCCAGCAATCCCACTTCTGGGCATACACACCAAGGAAACCAGATCTGAAAGAGACACGTGCACCCCAATGTTCATCGCAGCACTGTTTATAATAGCCAGGACATGGAAGCAACCTAGATGCCCATCAGCAGACGAATGGATGAGGAAGCTGTGGTACATATACACCATGGAATATTACTCAGCCATTAAAAAGAATTCATTTGAATCAGTTCTAATGAGATGGATGAAACTGGAGCCCATTATACAGAGTGAAGTAAGCCAGAAAGATAAAGACCATTACAGTATACTAACACATATATATGGAATTTAGAAAGATGGTAACGATAACCCTATATGCAAAACAGAAAAAGAGACTCAGATGTATAGAACAGACTTGTGGACTCTGGGAGAAGGCGAGGGTGGGATGTTTCAAGAGAACAGCATTGAAACATGTATATTATCTAGGGTGAAACAGATCACCAGCCCAGGTTGGGTGCATGAGACAAGTGCTCGGGCCTGGTGCACTGGGAAGACCCAGAGGGATCGGGTGGAGAGGGAGGTGGGAGGGGGGACCGGGATGGGGAATACATGTAAATCCATGGCTAATTCATGTCAATGTATGACAAAAACCACTGCAATGTTGTAAAGTAATTAGCTTCCAACTAATAAAAATAAATGGAAAAAAAAAAAAAAAAGAAGTTGGTTTCTCTGAAACTTCTCGTACCAGTGAGGAATTCTGGTGTGGTTCCCCCAGCAACTCCCTTTGCCATCCACACACAAGCAAGGCAGCCGGATGCACATGACTAAATACATATAACTCTGATTCACTTTTAAATAAGTGTTTTGTGGAAAGCAGACATATATTTATTTTATTGTTGTTGTTTTTAACTTCAGAATCTTGCTTTGTGGGCTCTGTAATTTCCACATGTCCAAACTGAGTTACAACATTCAAAAAAATTTGGAGGTAGCTCTTCCTCTCCAATATTTATATTGTTTCAAGAGAGAACTGTAGTACTGAGCAAAAATCCCGCCTTAGTACAGTTCCCAACTCCCACAGCCAAGCTATGCATGCTACTACCATGCCCTTATGATGGTAAGAGAACAAAGCAGGGACTTCCCTGGTGCTCCAGTGGCTGGGAGTCCACCAGCCCATGCAGGGGACCTGGCTTACATCCTGGTCTGGGAAGATCGCACAACTAAGCCCAGGAGCCACAACTACTGAAGCCTGTGTGCCTAGAGCCTGTGCTCTGCGAGAAGAGAAGCAACCACAACTAGAAGCCTGTGCACTGCAATGAAGAGCAGCCCACCTTACCGCAACAGGAGAGAGGCTGTGCCCAGCAACAAAGATCCAGGGCCGCCACGAATAAACTCATATAATAATAAGGATAAAAGAAAACACAGGAGCAGGGCAGGTGCTGCCTATTTAATTAACAGATCCATAAGCAGAAGAGCCAGAACTTGAATCAAAAGCCATTCCTGGCCCTTGATCTCTCTAACACACCCCAACAAATCTGGAAGTGTTTCAAATAATATTTCCAATCATGTTTACACCTTAGTCTTCATTTCCCCTAACAGATTCAGTGACTTAGACACTAGCTAAGTGAATGGGATCATCTGGTCTTTTTCTTTTACGGTAAACATGTTTATATATTCGTGCCTCATACTCCACAGTGGAATCAATGTATCCTAGTGGGCCCCAAATTTCAAAACTTACATAACCTGAACAACAGTGCTCATCTCCGCTTCCTGACTCCCTACATGAGGAGGTTGACAAAAGTTTGCCTAGTGATATCAGCCTGTTGTCCAGACCACCAAAACTGCTTTGTCCTCTGTACTTCCCATAAAGCATTCTGATAATCAGTGCAAACGTTCAGTGACTGTACTGTTAACCCAGGACTGAGGCTGTTCAAACTGACTATGCTACACGGTATACACAGTCTAAAAACATTTTTTAAATTTTTTAAAATTCAATTCTGCTTCCATATTGAGCTTTTATCTTAAGTAAATGTGCTTTCATCTTAGTTCTTAGCAGATCATAGTGAAATTATATGTTTATGTATTTGTCTTCTTCCCTAGATCACAAAGTCCCCAGGGAAAGGGCTGTTTACTTTCAGGGCATAGCACAGTGCTAGCCTCATAGTGGGCAATTAATAAACTGGATAAACTGAGTGGAACTACAAAAGAGAAGCCCCCTTGTATAAATGAGATGAGAAGAAGTCAGAGCAACCTGCCATTCCTTCCACTAAGGAAAGAGAAAAGCAGCTGAATGCAAAGACTGCAAGAATGATGGGCCAGTAACAAGCACTGATACACCCTCAACCCCATCCCTACAGCTACCATCCCATTTCAGCACCAGTTTCTGCACTGTTCTCATTATTACTAAGGTTAACATTTACTAAAGACTTACCATTTCGCAGACACTATGCTGAAGGGCTTTACAAACATCTCATTCAAATTTCATAGCAACCTAATGAAGAGATACTCTATTGGAAGCAATGTTTAAACTGAGTTTAGTAGCTTGCATCAAAGAACAGAACAAACCTCCGCCAGAGCCAGGATTCAAATTCAAGCCACATGCCTTCAACGTTCTATACTACATCTTTCCCACACAAAGACATAGATTCCAAAATCGTGCCTTTTTCACATTGTTTAGAAAGTTCCTAATAATAAGGCCAATTGATATTAAAGATTCATAGTACTTCTAAGATAAATGAATCTACTATTACTATTCAAACTGACTTGATACCATGATTGGAAAGCACTGGGATCATGTGACTGACCAGGATTGCTCTAATTTTTTCCCTTCTCCTTTGAGCATCAGTATAAGTAGTTGAGTTGATCTGATTGTCCTTTTGCAATGCATCACCGACATTCATTTGGATTTTCCAACTCTACTTATACAGAACACTGCACCTCTGAGAACTAGACTAATTCACACTATTCAATTTCCTCTCATAATAATAAAATCATGAGATAGATGCCACCATCAGTATCTTGGAAGCCGCTGCTTTCACATAACAGCAGTGACAGGCTGAAACTTTACACCCTGCCTGATAACCCATAGGCCTTCAGTCATGGTTTATACTCTAGAGGGACTGGTATTTAGT